CTTGTAAAACATCTGAGACTCATTCTTGGAAAAGAGAAACAAAAAGTGAATATATGGTACTATTTTGTATATACATATGCACTATTGGTTATGACATAATAAATGCATGTTTATAAGGCTATTAAAAATCCTCAATAATACACATTGAACTGATATGATTGGTTATCTACAGGTACTAATTTTTCTTCATTTTCCTTATTTTTTAACCTGTACTACAGCCATACATTACCATTTATAAAACTAACAAATCCCAGCACTCAGGAGACTGAAGCAGGAAGACGCCTGCAAAGCTTGAGGCCTACCTGGTCTACATAGTAAGTTCAAGCCCATCCTAAATAAACAGCAACAGAAATCAATCAATTAATTAATTAAACAAATCAAACTATATAAATATGACTATGAGGGAGAGAAAGATCAAGCACATAACAGGATTAAAATAAAATAAACTGAAAATATGTCTGCTAGAATATACTGAAGGAGTCATTTTTTCCAGCAGTGCAGAAGAATCTTTTTTTTATATCTATTTCTGTGCCACTACCACCTTTTTCCCAAATCAGCACATCAGTTAGACCAATTAGGCATGATGCCAACAGGCATGATGCCATTTCTTGTCCTCTTAGTACCACTCCAGTTTCCACAGGATTGGCTAAAAAGTAAACACGTGGCCAATTGTCTCTACAACTACAGTTGAGTCCACACTTGTGGATGAGAGGAGACACTTCATCTTCTCTGAAGACTGCCAGAACAGATGCTGGGAGAGGAAAGGAAGCAAGTTGGGCATTTGAATCAGCAGGGAAGAGGTAAACTTGGGGGAAAATGGATGCATGAAGCAGTCCAGCTGCAGGAAAACAGAGCCAACAGTGGAGCTCTTAGGAACCCCCAAGGTGGCAGGCTGGGTGAGTGGCCAGGCAAGCATGCTCAGCTGTCACTTTGGAATCTGCAAGTTCATCCAAACAGGCTGTCTTCACAGATTCCATCCTGACTACACTTCAAAAGAACGGCATTCAGAAAGCAGCCATTTCTGATTACACCACCTGTGACAGTTATCAAATCGCTGCCTCGCCACTCCAAATTCTTCCTTTATTTTCTGCTCTGGGATTGCAGATAAGGGTATTTGTCATCAGGTACGATGCTATGCTTTTTCAGTAGAAGGTATTAGGCGCTGCAAAGGAAAAGGTTTTTCTCCTGGGTTCTGGTGTTTTATTTGCCAGTTTCCTGCAATACTCACCACTGGCCCAGAGCTGACGTTTCTCCCACACCCAGCGTCTTTCTGAATAGCACCCAGCTTCTCCAGGGTTGGGTCTTGCAGCACATAGCTGCAGAGATTCCCTGCACTTCCTGGGTGGTTTGGTAGGCGGGTGTTTCTAGAGAGACAACTCCCCATGAACGTCTGCACTTAGGACTGGGATATAGAATTCAGACATCTTCCCAAAGGCTAAACAGCCACTCCTGTCACCAGGGTACCCCGGTGACTCTTGGGCCATCAGTTACAGCTGTGCCCTCCTACAGAGACGCTAAGCCCTGTGACCTCTGCACTGGTTACTTTAGGGTTGTTTCTTAGCCCTGTGGGGAGTGGCTCCTTATGCCTGCTCTTCCTTGTAGGCATAGAATTTTTAGAATTCTCTTTACTTCTTATTAACTAACTCCTCATTAATTTGTTATAGTTCATTGTTCTTTATATTAAACTATCTCTGTGTAAATTACTATGTGGTTTTTCTCTCTTGATTGGACTGAGATCAGTACAACACTGAAGCCCAAAGATAAAGGTTTGCTTTTTTCCTTAGAAACAGTTTAGTAGAAAGAACTGAAAGTCATTTATAGGAAATTTTCTCCGCTTCTATTATGTACTATGTCTTATATAAATTTAGTCATAATTAAAATGTGTACCTAGTTTTTAATTAGACTTTATTTTGGAGAAGTTTGAAGTTCACAGCAAAACTGAAAGGACAGAATTTCTATATACCATCTGTCCCGCATATTTATACTTTAAACAAGCATCTAAGAATAATGGTTATTCGATTACTTAACTCCACAAGTCACATGGAGTGTGGAAAAGTTTTTTCGAATGTAAAACAACTCTCAGTGCCTTCAAACTTTTTAAAATTTTATTCTCAAACTAAAATGATGGACCTTTTCTTAGGTATTCATTTAAAATGGAAATAATAATGAATTCAAATTGAGTTTATTATAAGAAATATAATCTCTAGTATTCATTTGGCATGATCTTATAAGATTATGGTCAAGACTAGTAACTGAAAATCGGCTTGTTTTGAGTATGAATCTTAGACACTTCCCTGTCCATGTAACTTTATGTAACTACTTCTCTGTATTTGGTTTTTCTCAAGTATAAAATAGAGATAATGTAAGTGCTTTATAGGATTTTTGCAACATTTAAATGAGACAATCCATGCAAAGCTCTAAATTAACATAGTTTGGTAAGTGAAAACTTCACACAAATACACGCTGTGAATATTACTACTAGAAATGAAAATGATCATTTACAACTCTATCAAAAATTTACAGATTAAAAAGATTAGAAGCTGAAATAATAAAAATTGAAATGGTGTGGTTTGTATCTAGATGACTTCCGAGAGCCTCCTGTGATCATGGGCATGGTTTTGGGAAGGTGATTGGATTCTGAGCCTTTCTACCTGATCGGCAGTTGGGAGAATTTACTGCACAGAGAGGCCCACACTGGGGGCAACCCGAGCTCATCTCCCTGCCCAGCACCTCACACTGTGAGCAGCTCTCCCCAACTGTCCCCGCCACGCTATCCCACCTCAGAGCCCACAATCATGCCAGGAAAGAAACAGGTAGAAGTGAGCCAAAATAAATCCCTCCTACTTAAGCTGTAAGTGTTGGGTACTGTGTCCTAGCAACAAAAATCAACTAAGACATAAAGCAAAATAACTGAAAGGAAAATCATTGGATCAATCAAATCTGGAGAAAATTTTTATCATTAATAACTCTTTTCATTAATAACTTTGAGTGCTAGCACTTTGGACAATCAGTTCATCTTCTACCCAGAATGCATTTTCTATATAAAATATGGTTGGTGTATCATAGGCCAAAGTAAGCTCTACTTAGGTTTTACTAAATACTATGTAGTAAAGAAGGCTAAAATGCAATGCACTATTTTTTTCTTCTTTTATAAATCCAAGTTGCAGTACATGATGTTCGCATTCCTTGTGTGGAGCTGGTACCTGTACATAGCACATTTCCATCCCTCCCCCTTGCTCTTCCTCCATCTCTTGATTATCTACCATTTGAGAAAGATCTCCCTACTTCCTACTACTGTTTGTTTTGCTCTTCATTTATATTTTGAAATATTTATATTTTAAGAGAAAACATGATATATAAGCTTGTGTGTCTGATTTATTTCACTTAACATTATGGTTTCAGGGTGCATCCATTTTTCTACAAATGATTCAAGTTTGTTACACTGACTAAACTAATTTAAACTAAATTTAAACAAGTTACCTTTAGGAATATTTTGATTTACATGTAGTTCATTTCTTTCTAAAAACATTCACTCAACTGTAAGAAAAACTATTACTCAGATCGTGAAATTTATAAAATTTTGGCACGGTATTTTAATGACTAATCCTCTTTTAAAAGGCTGATAAAGATTACAAGGGGTCACAACGATGACCTGCAGATGTGAGCCCCCAAATCATCTGGAGAAACACACTGATGACAATTCCGAAGCTGAAGCTGAGTGATATGGAAGCTCACGCAGAACAGTAGACAGAACCCTCGGCAACGACTGTAGAAGGCAAAACAGACCCAGCTTTGAGGAGGTTTTCCAAGGGTAAACGAGTTGAATGAACTTACAACTGATTAAAAAATATGGGTTGTTATTTTCAGCTTAGGTTACATAGATCATAATTTTTTAAATTAATAGGCAAAAATCCAGAGTCTCCACTTAGTAACAGGGTAGCTGTCGCTGGCTGCTTCCTCTTTTCCTATTAGCCCCTATACTTAGTACTGAATTTTGTTGACAACATTTTCAAAAAGATTATATATTTTATGTGTTTCTTCTCTTATTTGATGCAATCACTTCCTATTTTGACATTTCAAGAAGTAAATGAAAATGTGACCCATTTCCCTGAAACCAGCTCTCTATTTTTGCATAACACAATGAGATTTTTAAACAGGAAAAGGAAAAGGAAGAATTTAATTAGTGGGGAAGTTTGAAAATATACTTTAAAGAATATCCAGGAAAGAAATAGGGCATTTGGCATTCTCTAGAGATCTTTTCCATATAACTCACACATATGACAAAAGCAGATGTTACTAATGTAAAGTGTAAGGCTAAAACACCCTACATCTATCCATCAAAATCACAGAGGATGCTTCCAGGAACCCAAACAGTCTTCTGTCTGGAATGAGTCCAAGAAATCTGGTCAAATGTTGATAATCTCTTAATACAAGGCACATAATTTTAGGTCTAAGAATATGCATTTAGGAAAATAGTTTCTCTGAAGAAGGCTGAGGAGCGTGTAAGGACCCTAGGATGAGCCAAAATCAGTAATAGAGTAGACTCAGATCTATTATTAATAATTAATCTTATTAAATACATTGAAATTCTCAAATCTCAAAACAGGGCCCTGGTGATCCAAGATTTTTTTTTAGATCAATTCAAACTATAGTGTTCTTCTGTACGAGCTTCTTACAGGACCAAAGAATATGGCGTGGCCATTCTAGACCTTGTTATAGCTCAGTTGCCACTGAAGAGAGGAAATGGCCCATGTGACTACTGTAGAAAACCCTCTGTAAATGTTCCTCAGTGCAAGTTGATTCACGAGGCAGAGTGCAAAGTTTAAAATTTTATCCAAAATGTCTGCAATCAAATATCCATGAAGTAGGTAGAAGAAAATGCCTAACACATATGAAAGCAGTTATTTTCAAGTTTAGTGAAGAGGTCTTATAAGCCATAGAAAATAGGAAAGAAAGTAAAAAAGAATTTACAAAACTTGTTTGTTTTTTCCTTCATGGGCACATATATAATGATTATGGTTTTATTTAAAAGAAAGAATACAAGCTTAAATTGGATTTAGCACTATTAACAGATTTCTTAGTCAAACTACTTAAATAGAAATACTTAGGAACCATTATTATTTTCTTTTATTATCTTTTGTTCAACATTTCAAAACACTTTGAGAATAATCTTGGAAATAACCAGGCCTAAGAAAAGTCATTACTAGAACAGGAAAAAGATAACACTTCAATTAATAATTGTAAGGCTATGTGGTAATTATTTATTGAATTCTAACTTACAGGTACCTATAACTGTTACTTGATTTAATACTCAAAACTAGGACTTTGAATAACATATTACAAATAATACAGCTAGTATGTGCAGAACCCAGAATCAAATCCTGATCTGTGTAACTCTAAACCCATCCTCTTTCTCCTAAATTGTATTGCTTTCTAAGTTAACTAGTTTAATAAATGTTGAAATAATTGGTCTTTTTAAATACATGTTCATAGCATCTCATAAATAATAAGAATCTCCAATGTCATAAAATAATGATCATTTAAGAAAGTTTCTAAATCACAGTCAACTAACTCATTTCCAGAAACAAACAGATCATCACTCAACCTACAATGTATGAAAATAAAATATTTACTATAAATAAAAATACATACCTGTACGGGTCTACTGTCCTCTTGTTGGAAAAAATGACACCTGTAATTAACTGGAGGAGAGTTTTACTTAGTTCATGGTTCAGAGGGTGCAGTTCATTATGTGATTTTCAACCAAGCAAGTTAACATATATATATAAAACAAACATACAATATATAAATATGCTTTTATCTATATAAATTATTTGCTTTATATTTTTATTTCACATTAATAAGTATGTTTTGAAATATCCTCAGAAAGACATAATTCACAGTCTTATTTAGCAATCAACTTATTTTGATTGTTAAAAAGTTATTTTAGGGTCCTAAATATAAATAATTAAGTACTTTATACAATAAAACTCCAAAACAAGTGAAGTCTTTCAGTTCAATATGGAAAAAAATAGCAAAAACGTTTCTTTGAAATTTTAAAAATAAAACACAAAATACAAAATTTAATATTTAATTCCTTTTTGTAATAATATCTAATGTGAATTACTTTTACTTTCACTTTATTTAATACAATCAACTCTACCGCCAAGGTTCTACAACCATTTTCTGAATACCCGTCAGCCCTTCTGATGATACAGCTCTGGTAAATCTACAGTAAGTAGAAGAAAAGTTTTGAATTCATTTATCTTACAGTGACCTACTTAGAAAGTCAAGCTATTGCAGTGTAAGCCACAAGTTTTTCAGTCATCAGCTGAGCCATCTAATATCAACACATTTTTGAAACCCACAGAATTTCTCACCTGTTTTTTAAAAAGAAATCCATCGCTAAAGATAGATAAGCCTAAATAGAATGCATTGAATCATTGCTAAATCTATAAAGAAAAAAATACCATTCAATGGCTGACTTTTAAGTCACTAAATTGAAAAGCACTTCACGCATTTTAAGCATTGTTCACCACCTCCTGCTGCAACTGAGAGGTGGGTGCTGCTGAAGAGTGATGGGAAAAACACTTGTCCATATATGCCACTTTGACTTTCAAGAAAACCACTCTCGATTTTCACCGGGTCTTTATTCATCAGTAGATTGTGCCACTATACGAAGTACTCTACACATGCTTATTTTGTCAGTTCAAAGGCCACCTCCTGAGGGGTCTCCTTGATTAGCTGCCATCCACCCATTCTTCAAAACGGAGCAGTAGTGTTCCATTCTCCAACCTGAAAAACTCAACCAGCACACTTACTTCATTATGTTGTAATGAGTTTTCAGTACTGCAGATTTTGGGTCTGATAAAAATATATCTTAGTCATTGTTCAACACAGAATTTTCATTTTAGCATTTTCTCCAAACTAAAACACTTAGAGTACTTTCAATCATTCCTTATATAAAAGTTTTTCAAGCTCATTAGTTGACCTAGCCAGTCTTGCCTCAGTGGTCTTTTATTAATAAATGTCTCCAAGTCTTGAAAAGAGCAAATATTGAGTTACAGTTTATGTATGTGAAGCTGATCCACAGACTTCTCTAGAGTTTAAGTCATTATGGACCCTTATGTAAAACACATAAGTGTTTCTCCAGATAACTATGTACCTTGCCTAGCATATAAGACAGATGAAGTAATCACCAGGCACATATGAAGTAGTACCTAATGCATCTCTGTGCAGTACACCTGCCAAAAGCAACTTAGAAGGAAGAAAGTTTTACCATGGCTCAGTTTCAGAAGTTGTTTGGTCTTGATGCCAAGACCACTAGACTCCTGGCAGAAGCACTTGGTGAACAGACCTGTTCACTGCACGTTCCTGAGACACAGGGAGAGAGGGAAAGCTTGAGGAATCCCAACATTTTCTTCATGGGCCTGCCCACAGTGACCCAACTTCCTCTCAGTAGGCCTTGAGGGCTAACAGTTCTGCACCACCCTTAGTGTAACAGGCTGATGACCAAGGCGTTAGTATCTGGCCTTTGGGGAACACGGAAGATCCACACTACAGAAAGCCATATGCCAGGCACTGTACTAAGAACTAGAGATTCAGACACAGGCACCTCAATGCCTCTCCTGTGCAGCCTCCCAGCATGCACTAACACATGGCACACTTTGGCTAATATCTGTATTAACAAGTTTCTCTCCCTTAAGATTTTCTACAGCTTCTTAGACATAACTACAGATTATGTTCTCAAAGACAGCATTCTCCAAGGTTATTGATTCCTCTATTCTGTCTGAAGAAGCTTGAAGAAGCATCTCATAAACTGCTGAGTCCACAGTGGAACTATGGTAAGAGACGTGAGAGATTCACCTTAACGGAAGGAGGAAGACGTCACTGGGTCTCCTGGTTTCATAGGCTGCAGTCCTTGGTCCAGTGGATCTTTTTGCTTTCTGCTGTGACAGCACAGTACATCATGGTTGGAGCTCATAGTTCACTTCATGATATCTGGAAAACAAACAGAGAAAAGGATAAGGAAGGGGTTGGGATCCCCATATCCCCTTTGAGACACACCCCTTGGTGACCTAACTTTCCTCACCTCATTCCCACCTCTTCAAGTTCTATGACCTCCCAATAGTACCAAAGGCTGATGACTAAGCCTTTAACACACAGCCATGGATAGCCATTCCAGATCCACTCTGTAGCAAATAATTTATACAATGCCTCCTTCATTGGCTACTACATAGGTAATTGTAGTGTAAAGAAAAAAGAAATGATGCCATCAGAGTGTGAGAAGAAAGAACTCATGAAGACTTCAAAGACTGAAAAAGTAAGGGAAAGTTTCCAAAAAAAGTAATATAGAAGTCAATCTCTAAAAATAAGTCTGAAGAAGGGGGACTCTGTGGCAAGATTTTCAGAAGGATTTGTCAGGCATGGACAAAGGACACAGTGGCCTGGTGCACACAGAACCATGCAATCCAGCCCCATTATCGAGGGTACTACAGTGCTTGTGTTTAGAGCTTGACTAAAGCTAAAGTCAAGAATGCTTAACACTCCTGTCCCTAATCTTCCAAGTCACATGCAAAACCAAAAAGAATAAAAACGTAAAATTAAATTTAAAAATTTTCCAAAGAACATAAACGACACACTATCTATAGACCCCTGATGATAGATCATTGTCAAAAACCACTTTTTGAAGAAGAGGTTGAGGGATAGAATTACAGAAAGTGAAGCCATGTCGGGGATTGTACTGGGTGTTAAAAATCATAAGCAAAAACGTGAGACCCACCCTGAAGCCTATAATCTGCAATCTTCACTTACTACAGGGGTCTAGAAACTGTGTTCACCAAAGCAGGTACGATTTGATTCCTCTTCAGAAGGTGAGAAGTTCTGAGAAAGAAGCAAACCCAAAGCCCTCCCTGCAGGAACCTGCATCTGCCATAAGAGAGGAGGAGGGATCTTTGCTCTGCTTAAAAGAAATGCAACTCACGCAAGAGAGAGGATCCTAGAAAACTCAGTTCCTCTAATTTAATTACACTAACAAGAGAGAAACAAGTGAGCAATCAATACAGAGGCAGTATAAGGGGAAAGGTGATTTGTAAAACTTACCAAGAAGAAGGAAAGTCCAACAAACAAAAAATTCCTAAATCTTAAATCATCTTATGGATCTGACTATTTAAAACTGTGTGCTGAGCCGGAGATTTAACTCCGTAGCTTACGATCTTGCCTGGTAAGTGCAAGGTTGTGAGTTTGATCCCTGGGATCCAAAACCAAACAAAACAAAACAAAACTGTGTTTTGAAATACAAATCAATAGGTTGATGAATACATTAGCAAATTGAAAAGCTGACCCAAATATACAAGTAATTTTTGTAAATAGCAAAAAAAAAAAAGCAGCAAGTTACATCAATGTGAAAAAGGACCATTGAATAAAGATATTAGAGCAGCTATGGGAATTTCTGAAAGAATTCTAAGTCAAAACTACACAAACATAATAAAACAAGATAAATCTCAAATAAAAGAAAAGGTTTAACCCAACACAACTAAAGAAACTTCAATGGTTCATATTCCGTCATGAGCTGTCTATAGGGCATTCAATTTCCCAGTACTTGCCATTTTAAAACATTTTAACTTTTGCAAACTAAATGAACAGAAGCATGGCCTCCTGTTCTAAATACACATTTTCCTGATTATTGTGGCTTAAACACAGTGTGTGCATTTATTATCTATTCTGATTTCCTCTTTTGTAAATTTGCCTGTTTGCAATTTTAGTCTGCTTTTTTCTATTTGGTGGTCTTTTTAGATTATTTTGGGATTTCTTTATTTTCTAAAACACAATTTTTGTTTGTTTTATGTGAAGCAATTATTTTCTTCTCTATCATTATTTACCTTTAAATGTTATATATAGTATCTCCCAATGTGCACCTATTCTATTTTTGATAGCAAGAAGTTACTTTTTTTTCCCTTTGAGATTTTTACTTTTTGTGTCTTATTAAAAAGGAGTTTCTCAGGGCCGGAGATTTAGCTCAGCAGTATAAGCATGTGCCTGGCAAGCACATGGTTGTGAGTTCAATCCCTGGCACACACACACACACAAAAAATGGACTTTTTGTGTCAAGGTCACAGGGATATTCTTCTGTACTATTTTATAAAGAGAAAAAGATAAAAGAGAAGAGGAAGAAAGGTAGAATAGAAAGAGAAGGAGGAGGAGCAAAGAAAAAACACTAATTCTTATGGCATGTATTTCATAGAGTACCAAGAAAGCCATATATAGTTAAAGATTTATGACAAACCAAGGATAATAGCTTTACTAAATCACAGATAAATCTCCATAATATAAGAATGCCAGAAAATAGTTTTAAAAAAAAAAAAGTATGAAGGGTAAGGGCTGGGCAGATCTGGGGCGCCTGCATCCGCCTCCCTGGGTATCTGGAGGACTGTGATTTTTCAGCAAGCAAGCGAGCATCACCAGTTCCAGTGGCCCCCCGGCCTGCTGTAAGTGCCCAGTGCACTCTGCCCCAAGCCCAGACTGTTTGGGACCCTCGAGCCTTCCGGGTGCAGTGAAGTGGCTAAGTGGGCCCCAGGCACCTACATCCGCCTCCCTATTCAGGCTGCGCTCAGAGAACTGTGGAGTTTCCAGCAACCAGACGGGCACACAGTGTCCCTGGAACCCAGCTTATCTGGAACTACAGAGTTCTGAAGAGGCAGAAGAGGGCCTCTGGTTCTAGAGGCCCAGCAGCCTGGGGGAACTGGGTGCCAGAGTCCCAGGAACTGCAAACATAGAAATGGATTTCCAACAGACCCTGAGGAAGCTTTCAAATAACACTTGAAACACAGAAATGTAGGAAAATGACAAAACGAAAGACCAAATTACAATCTCAAACTTCCAGCACATCACAAGAAACCTCAAATATCAGACATAATAGCTACTGAAATAAACAAGCAACTCCAGGAAGCTTTAAAGGAATTCAAACTTGAAATAATCTCCCAGGTAAAAGAAGAAATGACAAAAGAAATGAAAGAGATTCTGAATATATCTAAAGAAAACACAGTTAAAAAATTGGAGGAACTAAACAAAAAGATAGCATCCCTAGATGAGCAAAATAAGAAACAAACAGAATACATGAAGCAGATGCACAGAGATATACAGGAAATAAAAAACTCCACTGAAAGCTGTAAAAACTGCCTCAATGAAAGTGAAGATAGAATTTCAGACCTTGAAGACAGGATTGCAGCTAGTGAACACGAAAGGAAAGATCTTTTAAAAATAACAAGGAATCAGGAAATAATAATTCAACAATTGCAAGATGATGCAAAGAAAAACAACATAAGATTGATAGGGATTAATGAAAAAGAAGGGGACAATATAAAGGATGTCAAGAGGACATTTAGAGAAGTAATAGCTGAAAATTTCCCAAGCATGAGATCAGAAACTGACATCAGATTCAGTGAAGCCTATAGAACTCCAAATAGTCATAACCAAAATAAAACTACACCCAGACATATAATAATCACCATCCCAGAAATCCAACATAAGAATAGATTATTAAAAGCTGTCAGAGAGAAAAGACAGATCACTTATAAAGGAAAACCTATCAGAATCACAGCAGACTTCTCAGCACAAACAATAAAGTCAAAAAGAGCATGGAATGAAGTATTCCAGATCCTAATGCAAAATTATTTCCAACCTAGACTGATGTACCCTGCAAAACTATCATTCAAAATTGATAGTGAAATCCAACACTTTCATGACAAAGAAGAGCTGAAGAACTTCATGAACACCAAGCCAACCCTGCAAAAAATATTGAGAGACAGTTTAGATACACAAAGGAAAAAACAACTAAGCAAAGCAGATAATTAAACAGAACAGAAAGATAAAGATGCAACAGCAGAGAGATAACATGACAACAATAAACCAGCATATAAAAGTTATAACCATTAATGTAAATGGTCTCAATGCACCAATCAAAAGAAACAGACTAGCAGAATGGATCAAGAAACAAAATCCAACCATATGGTGTTTACAGGAAACCCAACTAATCTAGAAGGATACTCACAGGCTGAAAGTCAACGTATGGAAAACAATACTTCACGCAACAGGAATCCAAAAAAAAGCAGGAGTAGCCATTCTGTTTGCAGACAACATGAACTGTAAACCAACAATGATCATAAAGGACAAAGAAGGTCACTACATACTCGTTAGGGGAAAACTCCAAGAGGAAGAGATAACTATCTTAAATACATATGCACCAAACTCCAGAGCACCCAGTTATACAAAACAACTATTAACAGAAATGAAAACTCAAATTATCAGTAACACAATTGTAACAGGAGACCATAACATGCCATTGACACCAAGGGACAGATCAACCACACAGAAAATGAGGAAAGAAATAACAGAACTGAATCACACCTGTGAACAAAAGGACTTGATAGACATACATAGAATGTTCCACCCAACAACATAAGAATACACATTCTTCCTAGCAGTACATGGGTCATTCTCTAAAATAGACCATATATTAGCTCACAGAAGATATTTAAACAAATGCAAAAGAGTTGAAATCATCCCTTGCATGTTATCAGATCATAGTGCTCTGAAATTAGAAATTAATGATAAAAGATACTGCAAAAATCCCACAAACGCATGGAAACTGAATAACACACTCTTGAGTAATCAGTGGGTCACTGAAGAAATTAAAGAAGAAATTAAGCAATACTTAAAAGAAAATGAAAATGCAGATACAACTTACTGGAATTTGTGGGATGCAATGAAAGCCATCCTCAGAGGAAAATTTATTGCACTGAGTTCCCACATCAGGAAAACAGAACGAATACAAATAAATAACCTGATGCTACACGTCAAACAGCTAGGAAAAGAAGAGCAAGTCAAGCCCAAAAACCAAAAAAAGACAGGAAATTATAAAAATCAGAGCAGAAATCAATGCAATAGAGACTAAGAAAACAATCCAAAGAATCAATGAATCAAAGAGTTGGTTCTTTGAAAGA